AGGTATTTATGAAATATTTTTTTTAAGATTTTAAGGGTGGATTACAAATTAGTTTAATCGAAACATTGTTAAAAATAAAACATTTTAGCTAAATGAAAAAAAAAAATCTTATAGAATTTAATAAAAACGCTACAGAGAAATAAAATAAAAATAACTCTTACAAACAATAGAATGTAGTACGGTTATGTAGTCAATTTATATTTTATTAAAAAAAAATGTATGATTTATAATTTGAAAGGTAGAGAATTTATAGATTCATTTTTTTTTTTTATTGATATCTATATTAAGAAATTTCTCCAATCTTAGAATAACTGATGTAGGTATTAAGGTACACCAAATTGGTTCCCGTTTGTGTTCAAGTCAAATTGGTACAATCTTTATTATTTTGCGATATAAAATCATATACATATATGTATATATCATATGTAAAATTATAAATTATTGCGAATCGTTCCATTCAAAAATAAATATAGACTTTAACGGAATCCATCCTAATATATTTTATGGAGACTTTAAACAGTATTTAAACATTACATTTTATTAAATTTTACACTAGTAACACCAGAAAACAGAAATAAATTACTAATTCTTGGAAAGCTGTATAATTAATAGATTATTACTAATTACACTAATTACTAATTACATTAGTAATGTAATTTCTACACATTAACAGAAAACTTACACACTTAGAATATTTAAAGGAAGTTTGCATCAAATTTGAGAGGTTTGTTTAACTTATCAGCTTAATGATTTTAAATTAAATTTTTTTAATTTTATAGTGTTGACTGATTGATTTCCAGTTCAACGATCGCTAGTACATATTTTTAGTAAAGCCTACTTTAAATTTGATAGTCTTAAGTCTCTACAATTGGAAATAATAATGTGCGTAGTTAAAAGCGAAAACCAACTAAATTTAAACGGGAACTAAACAAATTTAGCTTAACAATATAAAATACCTTTCTCAATAGGAAATCAATTTGGCACGTAAAGATCTAAAACGAGAAAAGAAAAATTAATTGAATCGCTTATTACAGGAACCCCTTTGTCTAAAACTTTAAACTTTTTACAAACTAATAAAAAATCCCCCTAGTGATGTTACATGTAGAGTATCTCCTCTACACAAATATTTCAAAGATGCGAATTGGTCGCGTAAATAAAACATGCATAGGGGGGTTTCTGCAAAAAATCGTTAAGTCTACTAATAAAATGTTTCTACATTTCTGTCTTTTATGGGGTTTCTGTACCTAATCAATGCACCAAGCAATGATTGGAACGTTAAATTAAAAATGTAACTCGTTCACGTTCACGTTCAGTGCGTAAAAAATGTACTTGTTCACTTTCATGTTTTTTTCTTTTTAAAGTGAATACGTTCACTTACAAGCGCTATGAAAAAATTATCGTGATAATTTAGTGATTCATTAATTTTTTTTTATTTCATGCTTATGAATCACTAACACGCATTTTGTATAAATGGACTTGCACAAAATGTATTAAGTATATTTTAATTTTTATTTGAAACCTATTCTTAAATATATTATAGTCAACATTTATTATTTATACATATATTTTTTAAAGTGATAAACAAATTTGAATGCCCTAAAAATCGTTAAAAATCATTAAAAACATAATCGTCGTTCACGTTTTATTTGAAAAAAGCGAGTGACGTTTGCACGTAATTCATAAAATATGAACGTAAACGTGTGAATGTGCATTAACGAACTACGTTGTTTTTCAAACTCTAGTAATAAGCAATTAAATTATTCGTTTTCATACGAAATGTATATTGTAATAAATATACTTGTTGCATTTTTTTAATTTAGCTATGAAATATTGTTATATTTAATTGTTGGTTCACCATCGTATTGCATTCATGCTCAAGCGTTTGATTTGTCGAATAAATGTTTTATTAGTTTTCTCGATACATTTCATAAATAACAACCAATCAACTGTACCTTAGTTTTGATTTAAACCATTGTATTGATGTTGATGCATTCGGATTTCAGAAACTCACTCTCACGTTTCATGATGAAATATTTTAAACGATTAATTATTTTAAATATAATATTTATGTGTATAAAACTTTAGAGAAACGAACAATTTATAATATTTTTAAAGACATTTCGAATTTAAATATATTATAAACAACCTAAAATAATATTCTAGTCCATTTAATGCTTGCAGAGTATTTATTAAACAAATTATTATTCCATATAAATTTTTGTTGGCTTCTACTGTCACAAAAGGAATCAGTAAAAACGCCAGAACCGTGCAAAAATAATTCAACTAATAAATGCACTTAAAAAAAAAAAATAAAACCACACACAAAAAATAAAACCGTCAAAAATGTAACCTCATTTGTCATATCGCAATGGAACGAAGGTGCTTCGTATATACAAATCACGTTACCCTACACGAACCGTCGTTATTCACCAGTGCGAATGAAAGAGAACGATATTAAAAATGATGCGTATCGGAGATTATATAGTTCGCACTAGAACGTAATGTTATTCATTGTTTGTCGGGTTCCGAAACGAAAGAGAACAAAAACAAGAAGAAAACACACACACCAATTTCCGTGCGCAGGGATAAACCTAATCGCTCGCATATCGTTTCGTTACGTGATTTAATTTTTTTTTTTTTTGCTTTCCGTTCTTCTTCCGCCGAACGAACGTTATATTTTTTTCTTCACGTATTCCGCGCGCGATTGCTTGATCCGACCCGTTCGAACCGTTGCGATGCGTATACGCCCGCGAAAACAATTTTTTTTTTTCAAGCATTCTAATGGGCCCCACTGGGCATTCTCGTATGGGAGCCCATAAATACCTATCTAAAAAATGTTTTTCTTAATATTATTTTGACAATCGTTATTTACATGATAATCGACAATTTTAACTATATGATACAATAAACAAACAATTAAAATTATGATCATGATTACAAATAATAATAATATCATTATCATATTTTCATCAAATTGTTGCGTTTGGGAAAATGTATTTTGATGTTTTTACGTACCGAATTTCAAATTTCTATGTGCAGAGAGTTAAATATATATACATGGGCCTACGTATGATTATGACGATTGGGTGATAGTTTTACTTGTTCTATGAGTAATTATATTATTGTTAGTTTTATATCTTGTGTTAGTTTAGTGATTTTATGTTTTCTTAAGATTATTTTTGATCATAAAAACAGCTACTGTTTCATAGAAAAGTTTTCTTATTATTAATACATTAATTTTTTTAAATACATTATCATTATGATATAAATAATTTGTATTCAAAATAATTCAAAGTATGTTATTTCGCGCTATTTGAAGATAATGTAAATTTGTTGTACAAGCAATGATCCCATATGTTAAAAGTAATTCTACAAACATTTTTTAATTGTTTAATATTTAAAATATTTTTCATAAGTTTAAAGGGATGGATTAGTTTTCTTGATTTTTATGTTCTACCCATTTTAAATGTCTACATAATTCTGTTCTTAAATACTTATTTATTCGTTTATACATTTATTTATATGCAGTACGAGGTGACCGATATCGGGGAGGACTGTATTGTTTAAATAGTTAAGTAATTAGAATGTTTTTTCCAACGTTTAAATATAAGCTATTGTCTGACGACCAATATTGTACGTCATTCGTATAACTTTCTGGATTTTTTCAAATACAGTGGGTTCCACTTAATGTGATCACTTTAGTGCAGGTCATTTTGATTCTATAAAACATTTACAACATTTTTTTCATAATTCAATCTTTTAATACAATTACATTTTTATTTAAATTTACATATATATTTAATAATTTATAATATATAAAATTATTTATTTTTACATTTTTTTATTTAATGGTTATATATTTAAGTATACATTTATGCTTAAATTAAAATTAAAATTAAATAAATACATTTAAAACAAATTAAAGAAGTTATCTATTTTTGATTGTATTTAACAGTCTACCAATTTCATTTCCATATTAGCCTGAAATTAAATGAAATCAAATTAAAATTAATATTTATGTTTTTTTGTTTATTTGTTTACGATATACATATACATTATACATACCTGTAACTTTTGAAACAACTGTAAAGTATCATTATCGCCGTATTTTCGAACAGCTCCTTTTAACTTTCTCAAAATAATTCTCGTATCTTAATAATATCTTTTTAAAATTTTGTTTAACGTTGGTTGGGGAATTTTCAGAGCTAATGGGGCTTCTGTTTGAGAACATTTATCCAACTTATCATTACGAACGAGTAAATCATTTTTTTTTTTTTTTTTTTTATTGTCAAATCTTTTCGTTTGGTGGACATTTCAAAAAACACGTCTGATCATGAGCTGAATAAAGTAAATGTCACAAGTACACGACGCACAAATCGAATGACATGATTCAACGTACAACGATATACTGCCATGCTGATGAGTTCAAAAATAAAATGGGTTTTATAAATTGATCGGTTTGAAATACCATAAAAACGATAAGATTGTTCGTAAAAGTGATTCAGCTGTCCGGTACCTGGTGATCCTCATAAAAGGTCAATTTAACATTGGTAACGCGCAATTCGGTTTGGGATTTTCATTTTTGATTCCAATAAACGGTTGATTCTATGAACCAGTGATCACATGATCCGCGGTATGTTTTCCGTATTAAGGTGGGATCGGTGACGACGAGACGTGGCTCGGGGGACAACGCATCTCGTCGGTTCTTCGGGACTCGGAGTGTTTTCGATGTTCGCGCAGGTATCGCGAGAACGCGAAAACCGTGCGTTACGGCACGCGTACGCGGTTCGAGCCGGTAACCGAGACGCACCGGTGCGCACGTCGGACGTGCTCGTAGGGCCGGCGAAATCCGGTGGTTCGGACGCGTTTCGTGCCCGTTAGTGGCGCGGGCGCGTTATAGCCGCCCGCAAACGAGTGGGTAGGTTTGTGTGCGAGTGTGGGGGGGGGGGGGTGGCGTTCGCGTGATGCGACCTTGCGCGCCGCGCGGCAGACGAGAAGCGCCGGCGGAGCGCTATAACCCTCGACCGGTGCCGCCGCCGGACACGTGCCGAAGCCGGTGAACGGTCGAGTCCTCCGACGCGCGCGTTTGCCGACGGTCATCCCGGGACGAACGCGATCGTTTTCGCCGCAGCCAACGCCGCCGATGCGCACGGGCAGCCGGTCGCCCGCGTTCCGCGAGTGCCGTCGATCGTCCGACCAAGGTAAGATCACCCGAGCACCCGCGCCCGACACGTCGTACCCGTGCGACGCGAGAAAGGCCGAAATCGCATCGGCGACGAACACGTCCGATTTCACGGTTTTTTTTTTTTTTTTTTTTTTTTGACGGGACCCGGAAAACGACGGCACCCGATCGAATCGGGTTTCGCGTTCCGCCGTGACAGAAATACCTACAGGGGGGCGGTCAAAACAATACGAACACCGTGGAATATAGTTTTATGCTGTTCGCACTGTGCCACTGAAGCGATTGGCGGATATTTTGGCAGAAGAACGGGACGAAATTCCGCTGGAAACTATTCAGGTCCTTTACGAATCTATTCCGCGAAACTGTTTTGAGAGCAAACGGTGACCCAACACCTTATCAGTGCTGTAAAAAGATAATCGATAGAATAGTTATCTAGATCAAGATAAAAGATACATAATAATTTAATTATCTAGACAAAGACAAAAAATCAACGTTTACTGTCCAGATAAAAATTTTGTTCAATATGTACCAGCCTATCTATTTATCACAAACCTAAGGTGAATAAAGTATATTAGATATTTCATAATATTATGTAACACGTCTAAATTTCATAACAGTTGTGGATATAATATAACTTTATAATTCAATTTAATGTTATTTCAAAAATTGGTTTTTTAAATTAAGTAAAGGGCAATTTTCAAAACATCATAAAATTTGATGGCAAAAAATAAAACTTCAAAATTATTTTGACTCTACGTTTTCTTTACACCTACATTTATTATGTTTATTTAATAATTCATTATTGTTTTACCTAATGAATACAATTAAAATAAATTAAATTAAAAATACAAATCAAATTTATTGTTTCTTTTTTAATAATAATGATATTTATATAAATATTTGAATAATTTATATAAATATTCACTATTTAAAATTCCGGTAACAATATTTAATAAGTGATAGGAAATCATTAAATAAACACTTAATAATTTATTTTTTTAGTAATATAGTAATATAATAATAGGTAGGTAGTAGTGTTTCAATGTATATAACAAAAAAATGTAAAATACCTCATTAACATTAATTATAAATTATAATATAAATATTTAGAAATGTTATCTAGATAAATTTATCTGGATATTTTAATTATTTATCTTAGATAATATCTCAGATAACATATTTTATATTTATCTGTATAAGATAAAAGATAAAAATAGATAATTTATCTAGATTAAACACAACACTGCACCTTTTTAATAAATAAATAAATAAATAAATTGCGTATATGTCAGGTGTTCATATTATTTTTTCCACCCCCTGTAGATCACGTGAAAACTATGCTTTGACCCTCCTCGCCCCAATTTACGGTTGGTATATATTCTTTACTCGTAGGTACCATGTTGTTAACGATCGTAACGCGTTCCGTCGCGTCGCCGGAAACGTGTTAGAAAGCGAAAACATGGTCTTAAGACGAAAATATGGTCATTGTGCTGAAAGCGTGTTACGGTTAACGGAGAATATCAGTGTATCTACGTCGTCGATTGCGCTTCGCAGTTCCACCCAATAATTTTCACAGTTATACGTACGGTTTGCACCATCAAACCGCACGTCGAAATACTAATTTACTTTATTAAACTGTTAAGAGCTTAATCGTAATTTACGACTTGCACTACGCTTTTGACTGAGTATTTACTCGTACGGGACGATAAAAAATATTAATTAATTTCAAATGTTAGATGTCATTATCTGCATTATTATCAACATTTTTTTAATACAATCTACATTTCAATATAATTTTTTGGTGATTTTTTTGTTATTTTAATTCTGACTGCAAACGTTTTTAAACATTTCCGTAAGTATAGCCAATTGAATCTCGTGCGATTCGATGAGTATTGATTAAACAAATCTATTAACAAACGCTACTACATAGATTGTAGTAATGATTTATTTTTTTATTTATTTATTTTTTTTGTAGAAATTTATTTTTTCGTTCTACGTATTAAAATCGGTTTGAGAATTTATATTATTCGACGATTTGCTATTAAATCAAACATTAGCGTAGATGTCCAACGATTATAATAATAAATGTAAATGTACATATTGCATAAAACAATCCCAAAACAAAATATTATGTGTACCGGTGGTGTAAGCGTCAGCTTCTCACATTTTTTTTTTTTAAAATATTTGAATACTAAATTCACAATCGGGTTACTTAATGAAGATAAATACTCGTAATTTTTAGAGGAGTTCATTGTTAAAAGAGGTTTCATTTGAATTTATTTATATATATATATATATATTTCTTAAATGAACCGTGACGGAATCAATTAAATAAAATTAATTTAGTTTATGCGTCATATTTTAAATAACAAAAAATAATTAAAATACTTAAAAGACAATAGCGACGTGACTTGCTAACCTAACCGACTAAATGTATATCATGTCGTATTACATTCACTGCAGGAAGGCCTTTATAATCAGTCTTACCTTTATATTATTTATTTACTCGAATTTACTTTTTTTTTTCTGTTCATCAATTATTCTTGTTTTATAAATGTCAAACGAATGTCTAACAAATCAAACGTAAAACAAATAAAAATAATTGTTTAAACAAAAAGGTGATTTTTAAATAAATAAAAGTGGTGAATAATTTTTTTTTTTCGTAAATTGAATATTGATCAAATCTTCACGTCTATAATATTTCTAGGTAGAATTAATAATATAAATTATTTGTGTTTTAAAATTATTTATTATTGTAAACATCTCTTATTTTTAGATTTGTTTAATGTCCTCATATTTTAATATTCCATCGAATAAATTACACACGTTTTTTATTTTCTTCGCATTAATTATAATAAATACAATTTTTAATACTGTAAATACTAAATAAACATTACGATTCATGTCTTTATAAGTTGTATATTTGATGACTCGCCCCCATTTCCATTTAATCTACTCATTCAGGATAATATTGGTATTGTACACAGCTTGTCCCCAAGGAGAGATACTACCTAATATTATTCTAGTTAAACAGTTAAAATCAACTCTTTAACCACATTGAAGGGACTTTTGTTCTACACAATTAAATTTGAACTATTATGTTAGAAAAATTATTATTTTTCCACGATAATATAAATATTTGTTTTCGGCCTGTACTGTCATAGAAAATCGTGGGAATATTATTGAAATATTTGTAACGAATGTTTTAACATAACTAATCATGAGTCTAATAAGCAATTGTTGAATAACCAGTGATTTAATAGCAAATATTTTAAAAATTGTACAGAGTATAAAATTATAGTTCGAGATATGTTTTATTAATTATAAGAAATTTAACTTTGTATTAGTACCACAATTGTAATACGGAGCTCTGCAGTACGACCTGAACATTTTTAAAACGAAGAGTGCTTTTAAAGAAAAAATTAAAAATAAATATGGTAATAATTAAATAATTGATAAGGTTAAAGATTTCTAAAGCGGTTATGCATAAAGTTTGATTAGATTATGTCGAAATTTTAGTTAAAAAAATAAATTAATTACACGATACTAAAAGAGTTAATAAAAAACATAACGTTAATAATATTATAGTTAATTGTTTTTAAGTTTAAACTTTAAACATGTTGCATGCAATAATCATCATAAATTACAATAAAAATGTTTTTCAATTCGTGATATTTACTTTTATTTACTATCTATTATATATAAACCCACATCAATCTAACTTGATAGTTGAAATATAGCGTATTCAAACCCAGCTTTTACGAGTTTAAGCATATAAAACCAACAAAATAGGTATCTCTCTTGAACGTATAGCAACTGATTTTAATATTGAGTCACTTGAAAAGAAGAGAAAATATAATGATCTACTTTAACTACACAAACTCCTTCCAAAATTCCCAAATTGATTGCCCTGAGCAATCCTGTCAAAGTCCCCTAAATGTCCCTCATACGTCTGCTTTAACTTATATTTAATCTGAAAGTGATTAGAGTTGTATTTTTTTTTTAAATCGTTTACAATATTTATTTCATACTAGACCATGTAGATATATCATCACGTATATATGTGTTGGTTTAGCATAGTTTGTTATATTCATCAGGCGTATTCGAATACGTACACATAATGTAATTATGATATATTTCCGGTAAACAGACTGTCGAGAACTACCGTAGGTTGATCCGGATTATGATAGCATTTGTCAAGACACAAACAAAATTGCGTACCTTTCAAAAGTCTCATCAATTTAGGAACCTTTCAAATAACCTAACAATCTTGACATAATTATACGTCATCGAACTATATTTTCCTGAGTGGATAAGAATTGCACACTTATGGGCGGTACATAATAATAGTATTATTTTTATTTTTATTATAAATCCTAGTAAAAACCTTTGACGAGTCTTAATTATGTGCCCACTATAGTTTTTGAAATCCACGTTGCAAGAATTTGTGAAGTTCAACGGCTTATAGGATTTTTTTCACCATCTCCGGATATAGCAATAGAGTGGTAGTTTTTAAAATCTCGGACTGATATCGCATCGATCGGTGTGAAAACACTTATACCAGGTGTTGTTATTGATATAAATGATTTAAACGATTGTGATGTGGATTATCGGTTGTATTTTATATTATTTGTATTATTTGTATTGTTTTATTCATTATTTTTCATAAAAGTTTTCACGGACAAATAACCATTTTACAAATATGGAAAGAACAACTGAATTTCAATCAATTCAGATTGTTATATGTGTATTCACCTCAAAAAATTGTTTTCTATTCTCACTCTACTTAAAATATTAAATTGTATAATATGCCACATGTTATTGGTCCAGTTCATAAGGACACTATACTTAGCTTATATGGTATAATAATTTATTAATGTATATTAATATTATTAAATCAAATAACGCCTGACTTTCAAATTCTGTCAATCTCTCTATTTAATTAAATCATTCCAATTTCTAAGAAACACATTATATATTGGGAAAAAATCAAAATTATGTTTTTAAAAATATTTAACATATGATACGGCAAAATCATATATAATAAATGGTAATGAAATATTTCCATGAAAAATAACAGTAATGTTACCCATGTAGAATATATGGCGTTTGAAAGTTCATTACTCGAGCTATTCTTAGTATCAAAACTTTCTCAAAACTTTTTTTTTTATTTTACATTCGAGGGGCTTGAAAAAAAGTTGACTGTATGCTAAATTACGTTTGCGGTGAAATATTTACCAAACAAAATGATTTGTGCGTTATAAATATTAAATATTTTCTCTCATATCAAACAATTAATAGATATTTTGTATTTTATTTTGAATCAAAAATATAATATTATATATAATTAATTAATGATCAAATAAATAACATTTTCATTATACCGATTATATTTTTATATTTTTGGCTTTCTTAGATCACATATTTTTAACACTTAATTAATATATTTAACAAGGTTTAAATACTAATATAAATATATAAATAAAGCGTATTTACAAAATTGTAATTTGAATATAGCATACTTTAAAAAAAAAAATAATAACATTGATATATCCAT